TCCTAAAAGTGAAATCATACCTTTTAAGTTGCTTATTGTTTGAGCTGGATAGGCTAAATGTGATGGCTAATTATTACTAAACTTCATCATAGCAGGATATTGGCAAATTATCATATGCAAAAATCAGCAATAAATCATTCCATTGCTGCATGCAATCTGTATATTAATATTTCCTGGCATAGTGCCCTGTGCCAAGGATAAGATAATAATACATTGTCCCCTTTAAGACCCAGCAGCTGACACTTTGTGTGCTTTCTGGATCTCAATCTTGACTGTCAGTAAGAGTGGCTCTGTATCATGTGATCACTTTGTCAGGTCTGACAGCGATCACATGCAGGCTAAAGGCTCCATTGACAAAAATTAAAGCCTTCAGACTGCAGATGAACACTGCCACCTTTAGGGTAAGTCAGCAGTGCCGTGTATTTAAAAGTTAAGGAGGAACTTTATCCACCAATTTAATGTCTCCCAAAACAGTTAATTTCAAGGCTGTCGGTGTACTTACTTCAGCTCTCAACTGAACTTTCAAGTCCTCAGATGTCATTTCTCATCATCACCATAGCAACTGCATTTCAAATAGACGCTAAGATGGCACCATCTTCGGCTGTAAGGCTGGGTTCACACCTAGGCGTATTGAATATGCGCATTTGCCGTGCGGTTCGTGGAGCGCGTTTTTACCGCGATACGCGGTAAAAAAAACCCGTGACAAACGCGCGTTTCCGTGGTCTACTTGGCTGTATCCCAATGGAAACACGAGACCAAAACGCCCCAAAGAAGTACATGTACTTCTTTGGGCGTAGGCCGTTTTGTATCGCGTTCGGACGGGCGGAAATACGGCATGGTGTGAACCAGACCCATTGAATACAATGGGATTTAGATGTTTGAGCGTTTTGTAGAGCGTTCGTCTAGCGTTGAACGCGTTACAAAACGTTCAGGTGGGAACCAGGCCTTAGTCCCCATTCACACTGAGCGATTTATCGCGCGATTTTTTTCAGCGATATCGCTCATATTTCCACGCGATATCGCTCTATGTAGATTCTTCAATCCATTTCAATGGAGCTGTTCACAGCTTGTCGCTCAATATCACTTGTAGCTCGTCGCTGGTAGCTTGTCGCTCCTACATGACCCTTTTTTCAAGAGATTTTGCTCATGATTGTATACAGCCCAATAGGAAAAAGTCGCGCAATATCGCTCAAAATCGCGCGATTTTCATGTCGCTCAGTGTGAATGGGGCCTTAGGGATAGGATGGTGTAGTTCCACTCTAAACTAACAGATACGGTTGCACTATTAATAATACAAAATAATAATTTAAAAAAATTGAACATGAAGTGTAAATTATTTTACATTTTTGTACATCTTTAAATAAAAAAAAAGGCTCTGGTTTTTTTTTTTTTTTTAAACTGCACCAAATAAAAATCTTATATCCTTCAAAATTTGTTTAAAAATGGTTTACTTTTGTAAATTAGTCAGAGAATCATAGTTGGGTTAACCGACCAATGCTGACACTGCTAAATTTTGTCTGAGGACATTTGGCCTCTGGTCATAAAGGGGGGAAAAAAAATAGAACAATGGCAATTTGTGGTCTGTCGCGCAAAAAGATGCAGAAACTGTTTTTGGGCGGTTGTCGCACGGTTTCGGTCCCATAGACATCGCTATGCATTGAAAATGGAGCGACAATCGCACAATTTTCTAAGAACTGTTGCGCAAACGAAAACCGCTCACCAGCTTAGTTGCCTAGGTGTGAACCTAGCCTTATACAGCAAAAAATGTTTCCTGGCATGTCTATTTTACTATTAGACTTACTTAAGTTTAATGGTTGAAAAATGCAGATCAGAAAGACCAGTTATTTTCTGTGAGGATACCTAAAGTGTGGTTTCTAGGAGGGTATCTATCACTGCACTCTATGTAAAGAGCACCCAAGCTGCTACATTTAAGTATTTAGGGACACCTATGCCGGAGCTCCCTGGCAGGAATTTAACGGTTATGCAAGACTATAGTCACTAATTTTAATAAAATGTAATGTGTTGTGTATTCAGCCTATCCTTAATGTATTTTTATCATATTAAATGATGTTTTGTATTTCCAACAAGGCAATAATAAAGTACTATGCTTCACTCATTATTGTTGAACAAGCCTGTCGACTTGTTGCGAAGACTTTTCATAGTAGTGCCTTTACTGCCTACACATCTGTGCATTTCAATAAAGAAATGCTGAAATATGGAAGAAGTATTCAGATTTATGTGATCTAGTCGCAGAAGTCATAATTCCTCATTTCTACACTTACTCCTGGTCAGGGATTAAAAAGAAATTGATGCCAAAGCTTGACAGGCAGATAGCTAGCATTTTCTGATGTATACATCAACACTGGCAACCTATACATGACACGTGCCATTCTAACCAAGTGTTTAAGACTTGGCTTCCTACTGATTATAATTATTAATGTCTTACAAAAAAAATTCAACATGGAAGGTACATAGAATTAGACTTAAAGGAGAACTATGAGGACAACCTCATAGTTCGAGCCGACGTGTGACAATGAAACTGTCACATGCCGGCTCAATAGATCGGGAAGTGAGCGAACACATACCGTCACTCGCTCACTTCCCAATTTTCTCCCTGCAGAGGGGGGTGATTGTCAGTCACTGCTTCCGCAGGGATTCCCTCCCTCCCCACTCCGATCCTCCAGCTTTGAGTGGAGGAACGAATGGGGGAGCTGGCGGGCACAGCTGGCTCTGCCTTTAGATAGGCAGAGCCCGCTGTCACTCAAGCAGCTGGGTGGATCTCGACAGTATTGTCGGGATCTGTCCCGGGTGCGGCGATCTCGCTATATAGGGAGCAATAGCCTACTATATACTGAGCTTTGGAGAACTATGGGATAAAAAGGTTACCTCATAGTTCTTTTTTAAAGCCACATATTGCAACAAAAGAAAAGAGAGAAAGAGCTTCCAAAACAAATTGGTGCAGAGCAGTTATTACATTGGTTATATGTTACAAAGAGCTTGAGTATACAAGCCCCACTTGTAAATCAACAATGGACACAATGCTACCATTGATAACTTTAGGACTGTTACCTGCAGGGGGTGTGCGGGAGGCTTTTAATGGGGAAACCTGTTCCTGTGACAACATATGTAAGACAGGATTGCGGGTACCAGAAAAATACATTCGTTTGGGTATTTGCTTTTACCCCATTGAGTCACTGGAGGTCTCTTGCACTGCTGTAACATTTTTTTTTATTTTGAAAATGATGTACAATGTTCTTGGAAACATTTTTGATATTGCTTGGAAAACATTTTGGTATTGATTAGTCAGCCCAAATTGCTCAATTTTTGTAGTTTGTAGCATAGTTTCAAAGAGTCCTGATGAGCGGTCACATTGCTTACGTCCTTGCATTAGGAAGACATAATGTTCTCCATATATGTAAAATACATACAATGTTCTTGGTGTATTGTAAGACCCGCATACATGCTAAGCAATAATTATAGTGTTTGTTTCCGTTTGTCTGATGTCGAGTTTAGCCAGCATCCAGTGTAATATAGTAATTATATAAAAATGTTATCATCCAACGTGCACCTTTTAAAACTTCTTTTAGCGTATTTGTTATGTTGCAGATCAGTATAAGGAAAATTGCATTCATACATGTGCACAGTGCAGCTGTTCTTTTCAACCTGGTATCCACTAATGAAACCATTTCAGTATTGGACAGGTTCCATGCTAATATTAGACGTTAAACTCTTCTTGCTGTATCATCAGGGTCAGTTTCTGTCCAGTGTACATGTGAATGCTCCATTCTAACTAGATTTCCTTTCTCTCTTTTCTCCAAAGCCCACAAGCTGTCATATGGAAGGTAAGTCTTCTGGCGTAATAACAATATATCGAGCTGTTGTATTCATTCTGAGCATACAGCATTTTTGGTAAAGATTTGTCTTTATCCTTCTCCCATTTTTATTATGTTTTTCATGACCGTTTCAACAAATTTTGTTTGAGATCACACAGATAATGCATGGACGTGATGTGTGCAAAAATGTACGTGTTTGATCCTTAGGCTTCATTCACACTTGCCACTTGAGTGTTTGTCCTCTATATGCAGAGGAAAACCTGCCAGGCTAGATGCCTGTAGATGCTTTAAATTATGCTTGTTTACATGCATATGCGTTTACATCTGGTACAAAACCCTAGCATGAAAACATGTTTACATTCGTTTTGGTACATTTAGAAGTTCAAATCAGTTCTTAGATGCACCTGATTTCTATTTTTTGAAAATGCAGATAATCTGACTGCAGATAAGAGCATCTAGACGCAAGGTGTGAAGATCCATCGGAATTGATTACATGCACATGTAAAAGCTTTTTAAATGTATATAAAAGCATCTCTTCACTCATAGTCTGAGTGAAGCCTTACACTTTTACCGTCTTTGGCTTCCATGACTAATGTTTTCAGCCTATGCCAATCCTACTCCCTGGCATAACATAATCCAAACCATGGTGCTTTTGTATATAAATCAAAACCGTTCTTTTAGTTTTGTACAGAGTGAGGTAGGGTTAGGACATCTGTCAGGTTCTTATTGCTGTTGTCTTTCTGGGGATATTTACCCTCACTGTATTTTTTCTGTTGACCACAGTCACTGGGTGGGGGGGGGAAATTATTGGAAATGATACATTTTACAGTTGTCACCATACGCAACGTGATGGTAAATGGATAAAGCGGTCTAATGTCATACATAGCTAGATTGCTCCCGTTTAGCCCATTGGCTCAACTGTTGGCCGGTTTAGCAGAAATATGGAGAAATTCAAGCTGTCTATGGCCAGTTTAAGAAGGGATTTCCTCACATTTTCCATTCTCTCTCTGTGATAGGAAATATTTGAAATTTCCCCAATGGACACAAATGGCAAAAACAAACAAAAAACCGACAGATGTTCTAACCACTCTATCGAAAGCAAATAAAAAATCACCAGATCCAGTTTACTACATATTTATCTATTAATTTATTCTTTGCTACAGGCTTCGGACAAATCATTGCGGATTCAGAGTCTCCCACAGTTAATGACGACAGCTGGGATATCTGATGTAGATGGCCCATCTACTGATTGCCCAGGCAAGTTGTTTGATATTTCTAAAACAATGAACATGTCTTATTTGGTGGTATTTGAAATATCAGCTGTTCTGTTGAGTAAGAGGACTTTGCATTGCCTGATATTAATAATGTGGTTATAGTAGAGGATGTGTTGATAGCTTGTGCATGCAAGTGAACCAGATCATTCAAAATAGAAATTCAGCACAAAGTCCTGAATGTTCTGTTCATGAAAAGATTTCTAAATTCAATGTATACATGTTGCTGTTGAACTCTGAAACAGTTATCACATCAGTCAAAGTTTTTTCCTGACTTCACCATATATTTAAGTTCTTCAGGCTGAAGCCACCTTGTGCACATCTACAACAGATGTTTAGAATGTGAACTTTTATTGTTATTGACTTAATACTAAAACCTCCTAAAATGCCAACATACTTGTGGACATTTAAATATTCAATTATTACAAAACATCTTCAAAAGGTTTGTAACATGCAGAAACAGAAAGAGGACCATGACTGTAAGACATACTGGAGTTCATTGAATAAAGCATTGGCAACCCTTTTTAAAAGTCATGCACCTAATTCATGAAAGGTTTGCGACCCTTTCACTAAGAGTTTTGACACGTGCTAGTGGCTATGGAATCTGCTTACTGCCATCGGTTGTCATTCACAAGAAAGGTGGACCTGATGGGAGTGACTAGTTCCCTATCTGTTCCATCCATTGACAGTGGACGGCAGTGGGCAGATTCCATACCCCCTAGCAAGCGCTGTCTAGTGGCTATGGAATTGGCCCATTGCTGTCTGCTGTCATTTACAAGGTAGGGGAATCTGATGGGTAGCTAGTCTCCTAACGTCCCTATCTAGCTCAGTCCATGGAACAACAAAACTCCTTGGGGGGAATTTATCAAAACTGAACTGGAGCAGACGAAATCTGGAGCAGTTGTCTGGAGCAGCTACCAATCAGCTTTTCTCTTCAGTTTGTTCAGTTAAGATTTGAAAATGAAAGACAGAAGCCAATTTGTTGCCATATACAGCTGCTCCAGATTTTGTCTGCTCCAGTCTTGATAAATTCCCCTCCTTGTTCCCAGCACCTGCTTGTTGTGACAAGTTCAGTGGCTGGGAGCTCTGTAACGTTGATTTTATCACTCCGTACACTCCACCCCCAGTGCCAGCCTACATGCGACAAATGTACCAAGTTCTTACAAGCACAGACTTTTGTCATGTGGAGGTACCAAAGTTTTCCAAAGAGTGTATACTATACTCCATGAATTTCAGGGTCTGTTTTGGTTGTGCTTAATTGCAGGAAATCTATGATCACTTATTGAGTGGTGAAGCAATGGCCTCCTATGGTATAAAGACTACTAAATCGCATTTAGATGTGCTTAACTGCAACTTACTGCAGCTTTTTAACATTTTGCTAAATGAATTGCAGTAGAAAAAACTTCTGTGCTGTGAGCTTCATAGCTCTAATGTGAAGCTGCCAACACTCCCAAAATGTATAAACACAAACAAAAATTGGTGTAGAGCTACCACCAAGTCATATATTTAGAGTAAACAATCATCAAAAATCAACCCCAATGAATACATTTCATTAATGGAGAACTATGGGGTCAGTGGTTTTCCTCATAGTTCTCCCCAGGGTCAAAGGCTCCCGAAACCCAAAGCCCAGTATACCACGAGCTACAGCTCACGGTATACTGAAACCGCCGCAGCTGGGACGGATCCCGGCATAACTGTCGAAATCCACCCAGCTGCGTGATTGACAGCTGGCTCTGCCTATGTAGAGGCAGAGCCAGCTGTACCCTCCCCATCCCCCGTCCATTCCGCCAGTCAGCGCTGGAAAATCGGACAGGGGAGGGGGGAATCCCTGCAGGGAGCCGTGAGTGACAGTCACGGCTCTCTGCAGGGACAGGATCGAGACGCGACGCTATGTGTTCGCTCACTTCCCGATCTATTGAGCCTACATTTGACAGTTTCATTGTCACACGTCGGCTAGAACTATGAGGCTGAGTGATTTTTCACTCATCTCATAGTTCTCCTTTAGGCCCCATTCACACTAAGCGCCACTCGCCTCAAGCGGATTTCCGCGCGGCGGGTAAGCGCGACTGTCCAGGCGACGTTCCAGCGACCTTCACGGTCGGGCTGCATTCAAAAATAGAAAAATCTCGCGACATCCGCGGGAAAAAGGGTCCTGCACAAGCGACATGGAGCTGTACATTAGAACAGCTCCATAGAAAATATAATTGACCGGCCACTTCTCGCGATATCGCGCAGCAAAAATGCGCGATATCGCAGCGGAAATCGTGGGATTTATCGCTCAGTGTGAATGGGCACTTAAGCATATAACATTATAGCATTAACAAATTGTTTAGTATCAGTAGTTAAAAATATATTACAAAAATAACTCGTGTTACGTGCTGTCCTAAAAACTTCAAGGTGCACAGAACTTTAAATGTGAAAAAAGATTTTGCCACGTGGTAAGTATCCAGAAACGCTCCACCATGCAGCTCACACCTTATGGTGGGACCTAGTAAATAAACTAAGGTCTAAAGTGCTTGTTTCTGTCCTCCTGGGTAATGAACAGAATGCTATCCCTCTTGTGATCAGGTCCTTCATACAAGGTGGTACTCTCAGGAGAAAGCATATAATAGTGCTCTATTTTATAACTACTTCATTAAAGCATGTATAAAAAATGGCCACTCTCATAAAAATAATGCTCCACTATATGTGCCTAATAATAAGGCTTGTCTCTTTATAACAGCTGACTCTCAGTCATGCTTAGTATAGCTGGCCTGACGACTATCGTACGATAGTTGTGGGTGATCCCGCGATCGTACGATAATCGGCAGGTGTATGGGCAGCGTGCAACCACATTTACTGTACGGTTGCACGACTTTCGTCTTACGAGCACACTAGAAAACCCGCCGAAATCGTACGATTTTGGTAGCGCGATCGAAAGCCACTCTGGCCGGTGTGCTCAAGCTCACACTGCCTGCTCAGCATTGCAGACATCGGCAAGCCCTCCCCTCGGCAAGTACGATCTGCCTGTCCAAGATGGGCAGTTGGTACGAAATTTGAATCGCCTTACAACCATCGCATAACGAAAGTTGTGCGATGGTTGTAAGGTGTATGGGCAGCTTAATTCCTATGAAAGCAGTAAGTGTGTACTTTCACACATGGCTTCTCCATTTTTTTTTTTATAATTCAATTTTTATTATTTCAAAATGAACAAGGTAACTTTAACATCTATTCGTTTTACATCAAAGTACATTTTAACAGTTAAGTTCCAGCATTGAGTGTTGGCGGGCAGGGTTCACTCCCGTCCGGACATTTTGCCGGCCTGCGGAGTGGTACTGTCCGTCACATGCTTCATACATGGCTTCTCCATTTTTGCTTTGTGTTTGTAAAATAAATAATGACACGGTTTATTATGTCATGTGTTGTTGTTCATCTGAGGTGGCATTTACCTAATTTTTACACCATTGCTGGCATATAAGACTACTTAAAAACATCCCCTGAAAATTGGGGGTCGTCTTATACGTGGGGTATACAATGTATACCTTTAGTTCGTTTGGGCCAAGCTGGCCCAAAACGAACATCCTTAATCTGTCATCCCGCTGGATGTGCGGTAATACTGTAGGTACGGTAGCTTTGGCTACATACAGTATACCACGCTGAGCCAATTAGGGCTAGCGATGTACACAACCTCTGCCAATCCAAGCAGGCTTTGTATTCAATAATAGAATACATCGCTCGCTGTGATTGGCTCAGTGCGGTATACTGTATGTAGCCGAAGCTACCGTACATACAGTATTACCGCACATTCATTCATGATGTTTTTAAATGGTGTTGCCTTGGAATTGGGGTAGTCTTATATGACGAGTATAGCCCAAAACCTATGTTTTAAGTGGAAAAGTAGGGGTCGTCTTATACACCCAGACGCCTTATACGCCGGCAAATATGGTAATTTTAATTATGCCCCGATACTTAGGGCCTGTTCACACCAGATGCAGTGCGTTCCGGCCCGATTCTAGCCAGAACGCACTGCCTCGCATTGCGGCCGGCTCACTTTTTTGTGAGGCAGGAGGGGACGTTGCAGTCCATTGGAGTGAATGGCACTTCAGCCACGCCCTCCGGCCGCAATGCACGGGATAGCAGGGCACATTATGCTTGCGGTCAGGTCCGGTGCGATCAAAATGCTGCAAGCACTATTTTGATTGCACCGGACCGGACTGGTGAGCTGCAGTATATTTATTTTATTTTTAGATTCAGTTGACATGATTTGCATTTTAAATGAGGTGGGCACATGTAGCCTTTAAAAATGAACTTTTAGATAATCCTTAACTAGGCAGCAATAATCGTGATTTCATTTTACTAAAATGTTTTTAAACTTTGACTGCTTACAACTGATTATAAATGTCTCTGCTTTGAAACTGTACTAAACATTCCCTCCATTTTGCTTTCTCCTGATACCTTCTGCACCAGAAATGCAATATGATAGCTTGCTTGGAACAGGCTATTGCTATTTCCAGATGGCTGTTAATGTTATTGAACGACACAAATGAGAGTTAGGAAAGATCCATAAAACCTTTTCTGAAAGTGAATCACAAAGCCTGTATTGATTTTATTCATGTGACTGGCACCTTTTTATAATGTTATCTGTGGTTTCTTTTGGGGACAGTCTATGGATGGAAATACTGTGCAAATATGATTGTGATTAGTCCGTAGCAATTTTTTAATTTAGTTTTAGTTTTAATTTTTAGTAAAAAAAATAAAAAAAAAATCATTCTATAAATTTACATGACTATCTTATGGCACTGGTTATATTTGAGTGGAGAAAATAATAATTCATTTGTAATTGACTTTTTATTGTTTTGGGATGTTCAGTTTTGATACTCTTGAATCAAGGTACCTGTGGCAATAAAGCAATGTTTTTATAGGAAAAAACTGAGCCATGCAACAGTCTGTCTTTCTTCTCTAGATATTTACCTAGGCTGATGATAAAGCTATAAGTGGAGCCCTTTG